AACGGCACAAATAAAATATTCTGCAAGAGTATTGTAAAATCGATATTTCCCATTACTGTGTACTGGCGGCGGTGGCGTGTGTTCCCCGAATATAAATAATAAATAGTGCTGCCACGTATCGATCCCAATGCTATCGAGAAAATTATTTTCTTTGTAATCCTATATTGAGTTCTCGAAAGTAGTTATTGACAGTCATTTCTAGTAGTTTTGAGAATTATGTGTTTGGAAAGGTATAATGATTTTAAAGGGCTAAATTTTTCTATCACGACAATTCTCGGTCTGCTCTCTATGTTTACAATCACTACAACATCAGTCTGTCTTGCTTGTGATTATCGCAGACAGGCGTGATGAACATTTGACATACAATAACCGAAATTATATTTTCCGAAAATAGACTATATAAGTCGATCCTATTTCCTTCGTAAAAATATCGCGTATACTCGTTATCTGAACCACTTTCTAGAACGTTTTCACCACTCATAATCACACGCATCATCCCGCAAGACAATCATGTCATGTCTGCCGGCAATATTAGCATAATACACGAGTTTCGACTTGTGCCGGCGGCGGGCGGCGGCGGGCGGTGGCGGGAGGCGAGCTATATCAAATATTCATAAACAGGGAGCCTACGCGCCCCACTCTCCCCCGACTCAGTGTATTGTTAACTTTGTATTAAAGTATGTTGGGAACTGTTCTATTGAAATTAAGTATGAGCTGGTTTATTTAAAAGTTAGGTCTCTCTGTTACTAGGTTTAATATCGAATCAACTTTTTTATGGGGTTAACCGGTAACCGAGCAGGCGGATAACCTGATGGTAAGCAATCGGCGTCGCCCATGGACACCTGAAACACACGAGGCATTACAAGTGCGTTACCGGCCTTTTGGGATTTACTATTTGAGGATTGTTGGGAATTCAGCGATTGGAAATGGCGTGGATGGGTAATTGGTATCACTCCGGTCGAGCCGGCCCATTTGTTCGGCATGGCTCTCCCACATTTTCTGGAGAACCAGTGAAGTATAGAATTCAAAGCAAGTTGTATATATTTTTTTGTTAATATAGGTATTTAGTGTTAAACGATTCAATCATCAGAGTTAACTGCTACTAATGACAATATCGATTAAATCTATAACATTGTAAATACCCTAATCGAATAGCAATTAAAGGGATTTCCCACGGTTCATAAACGCAAAGCATTAGGCTTAGCCTTAGACATTAGGATTCAGTAGAATACGGAGTCAGAAACTATATCATATTGGGACTTTCCCACCGACAGGCGTCACAAATTATATTATGATAATGTCATAAAGAACAATATTAATTAATTGTAATACAGTGAAACTTGGTTAAGTGGGACCTGGATAAGTGAGAAACCTCTATAACTGGAACTCATGCTGAGGTCCCAACACTTTGGCACTGAATTACCTCTGTTAGTGGGACGAGGTAAACCTCTATATCTGGGATTTGTTCTTTCGATTTATCATCATAGTTACCTCTATAACTGAGACAGCGAGTAGATTTTATATGCATAAACCTCTGTAACTGAGATAAAATTGTTTGTTTACTCATTCTTATTCTACCCACAAATTCCACACGTAATCCCAAGTCCACCTCTATTAATGGAACCCTCTGTAAATGAGACAGATATTTATTTATACCTGTATATCTGAGACACTGGGTAAGTGGAATACTTCTATAAGTGAAACGATATTGTAGGTCCCTTGATGTCTCACTTAACCAGGTTTCACTGTATTAATGAATTGTAACATAACATAACATCACGCCTTTTTGCCTTTTTGCACGGCACTTAATGCCACTGTACAATGTAACACCCACTTTTCACTATTTATGTTATGAGTCCCATGTAATAGGGGGTGAGCCTATTGCCATATACCGGGCACATTTCCAGAATCCGTGCTACTACTGAGATTTTTAAAAACCCAGTAATACTTTGCTCGACCGGGCAATCGAACCCGAGACCCCTTGCCCGGCAGTTGCACTTGCGACCACTCGGCCAACGAGGCAGTCAGATAAAAAATGTATTTCAAGTCTATAGCTTTATTCCAAACAATATATACCTACCATATCTGCTCATCCCTTTACAATGAACATCCAAGCGACACAGTCACATCTACATACAAAGAGGCCTTTCAAACCGACAGTTGATTCTAAAAAGAAAATCCAATTTCGTTTCTAGCAATGCAAAGTTATGCTGGAAATTAAATGTCAAGTTACATTGCCAGCTCACTTTGAAGGCACGCGACCAAATCACGCATTTAATGCGCAATGTAAAGCGACGTGGCCTAAATCTCATTTGTTTTTGCGAAATAAACGTGTCTTGGTGACAGTCGATCCCGTTTTCGCATTTCCATTTACGAAATCGGCTTATACCTAACTGAGAAATATGTTTTTTTGAGAGAGATCAAACAAATGGATATTTTCCATTGTATTCAACTTCATATACATATCCAATACTAGTTAAGATATGAATGAGTAAGTTCAACAAAATATATCTTCCACGCATGAACACAATAAAATAAATATAAAGAGTGTTACTGAATACTTTTGATGGCTCCTGAATGTATCCAAATTTTTTAAAACAGTTATTTATATTGCTCAGCTATTTATTGTTTACCGATTGATATACATACTTACATATTTTATTCGGCTCATAAATCCAAACCTAAGGCCTCATTATCACCAAGCAATCCCTCGAACAAAAATATATATGCTTGGCCAACGATCAACCACGAAAAAAACGTTATTAAACATAAATAAACACCCTGTTTAATAGATTTTCATTAAAAACCAGTTGAGGTCGCTAAAATGAAGAAAATATTTATGGCAGGTCCATTACGAAAACGGTTATTTCCCGTAGCCTATTAACTAAGCGCCTGAATGACGTCATTATTGGAATTTGTCGAGAAAAATTATAGATCCGTGTTCGGTTGCACGCTTAATGAGAAGGGGACCGACAGAGGGGTTAGTTGGGGAGCTTTGGACACGGGGAATGAAATTAAAGATAGGAAAAATGTTTTATTGCACAATCGGTTGAGTGGGACTTCGAATTGTGAGCCGGAAACATGAATTGTTAAGGACGTGGCTATATTCATTTACCATGTTGCTACATATTGAAAGATAATACTTTTAAGTTTGAAGTTAAATATCACTTCGGAACACTGAGGAATTTGAAAAGTAAACCAAACTTGAGTATGGTGCTTACAAGGCACGCAGTTATGTATATACTTTAGTTACTAACAACTGTTTTTTTTTCTTTGAAAGGTTATTGTTGAATGACAAACCTTTAATTAAGTATTTTTACAGTTATAAAATTAAGTACTTCAACGGCAAATTATCGTATTCACGTAATAATACAAACTTTTCCCCAGACTAATCTAAAACTAAACTACATGAATACCTCGAATAACTTGCTAACCTGCTTCATTCCACCCCAACCCGGGCCTCGAACCTGCGTCACCACGATACAGTAATTGACGCAATTAGTGCCCGAGGGGAAAGTTGGCGAAATTTGACAACGAGGGTCGGTTTTGTGGCGAAAGGTACAAATATTGGAGTGGTCTGATTTTGCAGACAAATACAAGCATAGAGCTAGCTAGGGATATTGTTCTACGGTGGCCTTGTAAGAGGGATCCTGGAGGAAGATTCAAATTAGATTTGTTGCTACTGTAGCTTTTATCTTTGAAATATTTTTGACGGTCTTCGTAGAACATGTGTTGTATTGATGTTCGTATTATCACACACAGTAGTAATACAAGTATTGTATTCAAATTATTAATTTTTGTATTTAGACATGAACAGGTATCGTGTGTAATATGTTTTCAAGATGAATATTTTGCTATGAGTATTTAGCAACAAGTAGTATTACAAGAAAATTAAAAAATTATTTCAGCATAAGCTTTGAATTCAACGTATACTTTAATTAAATATAATTCAAATGGAATTAATTAGTAAAGCAAATTTGAGCTAATAACATAAAACGTAATTTTGCAGGGTACTTCTATCTTCAAAAAGGAAATGAAAATATTTGTTCTGTGTTACCAAATTGTGGAGAACCCAGCGCCCTTCGATCCTTGGAACAAATGCAATTAGCCCCTAACATTAATTCCGAGTTCAAAGTGGTCGGCGCGTTAATTATTTAGACTCGTCCAATCGATCGCTCGTGATTGGTCGAACTAATTGAATAGGATAACGATTTAATTTGATTGAACTTTAATTAATGTTGGTACAATTATGCCCGTGTTCCTCTTTGAAGGAATTCTGTGATTAGCGTTATAGGATTAGAAGAGGTTGGTTTTGATTTTAATGTTTTCATCATGAGGTGTTACTAACGGTAAGATTTTAGTTGAATATCTTTAAAATCTGTGTATTTCAATTATATTCCAACCGGTGACTATCAGCCTAGTTACGAGGATAACTGGCCATCTTTCGCTCTTTTTCGTATTTTTCGACAACACAGTAGTTCCAATTACACCCACCAGAGATCACCAGTCTCCCCGGCACAATGTTCCGCTGCTCCTTTATTTATATTGCGTCACATCCTCCCCCAATTTACTTTATAACGTTGTCCAACAAATATTTGCTTATCGTTAACTTTACCAAACATTTACTGTCCACGTAATCCCTACTGTGTTGTAATAAGGTTTATATTTGATTGTCGTGTGTGCACGGTAATGTTGGTGACGGTGGGCCCAATGTTTGTTCAGTGAGAGCCCTCGCGATTCTGTGTTGTGTCTTAATATCATCGTCAATAATAATACCTTTGTCTTTTAGGGGCCCGCGCTTTGTTTGTTGAGTGCTTGTAAAGAATTATTGTTGGGGTCCCGTATCTGATTGATAAACAAAAAGGACTTATGGTGTTTGAAAAATTAATTTCTTTTCGTTGATAAAGTTTTCATTACGATTTTTTACGATATTTAGACTATGTCACATACATTCCAAGTCCCGAACATTCGTCTCTGTGTAATACTGAAGAAGTTCTTACCTGTGTCCCTGAGCTGCAGCGAGCCGACCTTGTTGGAGAGGTAGCCCCTGATGGTGCTGGCGACCCGCGCGGGCGAGGCGGCGGCGGCGCCCCCGCGCAGCGCGCCCCCCAGCCGCCCTAACAGCGCACCGCCTTCCGCCTCCACGGTCGACACTTCGAACACCCCCCACAGAACTAGCCGACCCCCCAAAATATACCAAAAAGTACTAAACCCCTAAATGTCCCAAATCCACAATAGTAAGTGTAAATATCGCGAGAGTATATAGTTTATAGGTAGAGTATATTAGTACTAGATATAGTAAGTTAATCAGTGCGTTATTTGATATGTATCGGTTGTGGGCCGTTTACCATGGTGCGCCCGCGTGTGCCACTGCAACAACAGACAATATTTCATTACTAACACATCTACTATAAATAGTAAACTTCCTTAAAATCTCTGGCAGATTTTTCACACACACAAACAATTAAAACGTTGACTTCCGACATAAAACTGTGAAGGGCAAATCCTCCATCATCATGGCCCAACTATTATCCTCCGAGGCTTCAAACGACAATATCAAAACCCGAATATCTCTAAAGAAGTCGATCTCATACTTATGTCAACTCTATAAAGATAACGTCCATCACCTTTCCTTTTCCAGAACCTTCCAACTAATCCATAACATACAAACCAGCACATTCAAACTCCACCCAGTAACATCGCACCAGTTCTGGCAAGTTGCCAACGTATCGGTACTCTCAATCTCTGCCCACCCCCACGGAATGTGGGGCACAGCATTGGCCCCGATACATGTGGCCTTCAGTTTTATGTAAACTGCTAATATTATACTGAAGTGACCTAACATTTAATACTAAGTTATGTTCGTTAGGTCAACCATATACTTAGGGGTACTAGAATAAAGATTTATAATTCTACACGTTTCAGGTGAGATAATCATAATATGGTGTTAAATGTTTTCTACATCTCCCTTTTGGTCCCTTTATTGAATATAATATGTAACTTATTGGACCTAGTGCCTACCTTTTAACCTAGTGGACTAGTAGGCATAGTGAAATGGTCAAAAAGTTACCATTATTCTTCTTTATAATTACTTTAATAAGGTATTAAATCACTAAGTTCAAAGGGATATAGAAACATCTGGAACTCAAGAGAATTTTTTTATTGCTATAAAATACTTTTTTACTTTTTTACGTCCCATCTTTAGTATCAGTATTTACAGTGAAAAATATGAGGTAATCCAGTTTATGAGTTCGTTATAAATCGATTAACATCATAATCTGATCAAAATGTTTGTCCAACATGCCGACGCCTATAGTTGAAAGTTCGGTAGTTACATTTCTTCTTACTATGATGTATAAACTTAGTAAATAATCACATTCCCTACATCTTAAGATGAGAGCCTCCACACCGGATGTGTACCAGCGGAAACCGCCACTCGAGTTACTTCCGGCCGCCATCTTGTGGCCGGGACTAGACGCGGTTTTATGTCTTCCGGTCCCTTTGTGAGACCAAAATGTAACTTTTGTGAATTACTTCATATATATTTAGCTTTTGGAGGAAAATTGCGGTAATTTTGGTTTCAAATCCAAGACGAGGAAGTTTTAAACGTTTGTGATTCATTAAAACTTTATTAAATAGGTTATATAATTACGGAGGTTCATTTTTGAATGCATGTAGGGACTTTTGTTGCTAACGTTTAGTATGGTTGGATCAAAATTTCCATGGTTATGAACTTAAGACTAAAAAAGTAATATGTTTTGGAATTAATTGAATAAGCGATTAAGCTTATATCGTTTATTAACTCTTTTACTATTCTGCTTTGTTACTTAATTTTATAGCGTGATGTTATAAAGCTAACGAGAATTCAACATTATTCGTCTAATCTAATAAAAAAGGCCATTTCCACGTCTAACTTTCACTAAGCTTTAGATATATTATGTTACGGAAAGCTTTGATTTAACTTTCGACATATCTTTAGTATTATAAAAACACATACAACTTGTATCACCGATCTAATGAAACTTTGACTGGTTAAAACCATAACTCAGTGACATTTATATTCTAAAGCATATTTTATAAATGACAACATTTTTACATTGGACTGTGAAATGTGATTATAACATTCTGCTTATCCCTTAAGAATTAAAATTGGTTATAAAAGTAATTTTATTGATAAATATAGATCTTACAAAAGTATTACGATACTAAAACATCCTAAAAGTTGTAAAATTATTCAATTTTTGTCTCCCATTGAAAAGCGCCTACGGCTCGTAGCCGTCGGCTACGCTCGCTACGGCGCGCTACGTCCCGTAGCAAACGTGCTACGCAGTAATCAATTAGGAAAGCTTTTAATTATTTCACGTGGTACAAAACGTATTGAGTATTATAAAAAGAAGGTGCGGTGCAAGTTCTATATGTACGTTTAAATAATAATGTGATATTAATATAGGCAACTAATTATTCGGAAATAAAATTCGCACTCAGGTTTAGTCAAAACGGAGTTTAAATGTGCTTTCAATCTATGTATGAATATGTATATTATTTAAATTGGGTTAAAATATAAATTTATACTAAAAAAGAAAAAGAAGGAAGATAAAAGGTCAGCAAATTACTTCTAATAGATCTACAGTTTCTAGAACAAAAATAGCAACCTCTCTCTCACACACTCATACATTCTTCGCACACAGACACAACACTGTCACCCCCATTACGTAACCATTATGTAACCCACACATTGACAATACTTAATTCTGCCATCACCACACCACACAACCACACTAGTACACAATGTGAACATAAACACACGTTATAATATTTTTCTATATATGACATATCAAAATGGCCGCACATTGCTACGAAATTTAAAAAAATCACACACACTAGGAAAAATGCTCTAAAAAGTCGAAAATCTCGCGATTATTTTAGTAATTTTATAATTCGAACGGAAATCAATATGGCGGTTTTATAAAAGAAAAATATATTGACCTTTTGTTTGTACTGGCGGGTACTTGCACACCTGGGGACACCTCGCCCGAACTGGCGAGCCTCGACAGTGCTCTGAAAAGGCTTTAGAGGCATGCGCGAAATCCTGCCCTCTTATTGGTCGGGGGCGGAAAGTGACGTCACATTTCCCCAGCCAATTGCAGCCTTCTGAAATTTTCACGTAGGTATGGACCGGTCGATGACTAAAAATAGGTTGTGCCGGTCGATGGGGCGAAACCAGCGTTATCAAACATTCATCTGATTAGAGAAACGTTTTCTTCCACTGGATATATGTAAATGACACCATTTTGTTTCTTTTTTAGCCTCAGTTATACTCTATATGATTAGTTTATGTTGACCTTATGTTTTATAAAAGTATTGCTATTATTGTTTCCTATTTATGACTGAATTTTAATATAATAATTGTACAGAAATAATATGAATGTAAATGATATAACAATATACAGTAACACATTTTGTATTATATAAACTTGTACCCTTTATTTATTTCTAGAATCCATTAAATAAATTGCTCTGAAACAAACCATGATTAAACAAACTATTGATAAATAAAAACATATTAGTACACACTATTCTTGATATAACATGTTTATGATTAAATAATAAGCAACTCGCTGGGGTTACCCACCTACATGTATAATTCACAATTACTCACCGTCTTCTATTAACAAACATGGCTGCCTAAATAGTTGTTCTAAGTTTGATTATGTATGATTGTGGTTGGTCCCTCCATTAGTAAGGAGTACTACACTCATTACACTTTATATTCTTACTAAGTACTTACAACTAGTTCAACCTTTTTGTATGGTTTTATAGCAACTAGTAAAGTGCGCTATTTCGGTTATTATTAATTAAACAATCTATGAATGGTAAGAGAGCAGAGAAAATACTTTTAATTTGGTGAAATATAAAAAGTAAAAATTTAAAGTCATCCATTTACAAGATGTTTTTGTCAAATAAACATATAATAATTGATACAAAAGCATTGCATAGTTCAAGAAAAATTACAAAATATTGCAATTGCACCTACCTACATATTATAATATTATTGAATTGTTTGTCTAAGCGTCTCTCGCCATCAAACTTTAGAGTTTGGCGAGTTTAGATTTAAGGTCACACCTATGTAAAATTTCACTAAATAAATTTGTAAAAAAAATAACAAGTACAAAAATAAACCAGTGTCTAATCTTTTAAAACACCAAATAAGTGATTCACCAAAGAGACAAAGTATATAAAATTATAATCAACATTTCTTTTCCTGGCAACAGTAATTTACAACAACATTGAATATTGTATATTTTTATGTGAACAAATAATTCTGTTAGTCCCATGGGACGCTTATGTATAATTATATACCCCTAGAATGACCGGTGGGGTTTGAATGTATAAGCAGGTCTTCATCATCCCATGAATAATGCAAATATTAAGTATCGCTTCAAGTTTCTATTGAACACTTTTGTATAGAATATGAAATACTTTTAACAACATTTTAAACTTTCACAACGCGACGCCTGAAGGGAAATGAAGCGGTATTTTTTGTTGTCACCGAACAACGTTTATGTAAATGAAAATACAAACACATTTCCATGGATAACTCGTTAGTGATACAATTGAATTTTTATCGCTATGTATTGTGATCGGATAAAATAATGCATATTTAATTTTCAGTTTGGAAATTCCCTTTAATGAAAGAGGGACTATTATCTATATAAATAAAAATGAATTCCCGTTCGTTATGTCGGAATACTGAAATGTTACTCAATTTTAAGCCGCGCTTAAGTATAGTTCTGTTACTACTAATTCTTTGTAAAATGACAGAGATAGCACGATATTTAAGCACGACTTAAAATTGAGTAACGTGTCAGTATACCAGCATTAGTCTCGTTAAAAGTCGAGAACGGTGGACCCGATTTGACTGATTTTGGTCTTGAGATGTTCGTGGGAGTCTAGGGAAGGTTAAAAGGTGAGAAATAAAATTACAGGCGGTACGAAATTTGCCGGGTCACCTAGTGGTATATAAAAAAAAGTTTTTATGTAACTGGTCCAATATTGCTTCTAGGACCATTATATGTAACGAGGATCTAAAGCACACTGTTTTGGCTCTAATTTGAACTTACATGATTACCTTTTCCATCATCATCATCTGCACCATCATAATATTATCTGAATTAGCCACAGCCTCTTCTGATTAGTATATTTATAGCATCTTAAATCTAAAAGATGAGAGTTAGAACGATTACCCAAAATAATGCCACTAATATCTTGTACCAAACCGAGCTCAATCTTTCAATATGTAAACATAGTGACCGCATCGCCACTAAATCCCGCACGTACTGCCCGAATATCCCGAAATATCCGATATTGCGGATACACTCAGATTCGGATATGCCTTGAATTTATACTGCTATTACAGTTCCGATTTATATCCGTATAGATATCGTTGTTGGAATACGTATTACATATAAAACTATATACACATACTAGATAATATGTATATGTACATATATTTGTGAAATATCTATTCTTTCTAGTAAGTAAAATTATAATTGATGAATTAATAAATTCGCCAATTACATTTTTCTTTGCGTGTTATCCAATAACTTCCCAAGGTATAGATAGAAGACCATCCATGTACTGATCTAGTAAACTTATTTATATTCAAAATTAATCATTATGTTTTTCGGCTTACTCTCATACTTATATTACCTATATGAGGAGTAGCAGTAGCAGCGCGACAGTTGCCGCGTTGCGGATTGTTTAATGCTGCTTATAATTATGAGCCTCCAGCATGGCTTGAAACTAGTCGTATTCCTAGTCAAGTAATTACCTGAGTAAGTCAAAAAACATTACAATATATTCTTCTATTGTTTTTTGAGAAATTGCCTACTAAATGATTATCTACTATAATTATAAAAATAAGTCGGGTTTTCCTTCCAGAACGCACGAACCGATTTCCACGGTTTCCATTCGTTGGAAAGGTCTCGGGCTCCGTGAGGTTTATAAAATATAAAACAAAAAATTTTTTCTTCATCTTTTAATCACCAAACGAAATGTTACACAAAACGAAGCCATATCCATATCAGAAGCCAGTTCTGAATAAGATTATTTATTATTTATTACGAGTAACTTAAATATTTTTCTTAGCCGAAGCACAAAATGAAAATTCTTAATGTTTAACTTCAATATTGAATCTACAGCCACAATGGAGAGTTAAAGCGGCTAAACTGTTGTTACAGTAAACCAATCTTACAAAACTGTTTCTCAACTTTAATAAGAAAAGTTAAAAAAATATTTCTACACAAGAGAACAAGGCTAGGAATAACAAAAGACGGAATACAATATAGTTGCCTCGTTAGTCGAGTAATCCCAAGTGCGACTGCAAGGGGCAAGGGGTCTCGGGTTCAATTCCAGAGTCGGCCAAAGTATTACTGGGTTTTTAAAAATTCTCAGTAGTAGCACGGAGTCTGGAATTGTGCCCGGTATATGACAATAGGCTCACCCTCTATTACATGGAATTCATAACATAAATAAAGAAAAGTGGGTGCTACATTGTACAGTGACTTTAAATGACGTAATGTGCACCTAGGCCTACCACTTCAGGTGTAAAAAAGCGTGATGTTATTTACATAAAAGTATAAAGCAGTATTAAAAAACTATATTATAATAGTTATGTTATAATACGGTTCTTTAATATATTACACTGTGTTTACTACAGTTTATTAATCTTGATCTAAAGTAGTGAATTAATATAAGCACAAAGTCCAGATTTCGATCGTAAGTAAAAGTATTTTAAAGTATGACAAGGAACTTTTGTCACATGACGTCAAAATTGGATAAGAACAACTATATTTTCGCGTCTACAAATATTTCTTTTAAATATTCAGTACCTATATCTTTACAGCTACCTAAATAAGATATTCCTAAACCCCCACTCCTGTTTAGTCTCACAATAATTTCCCCACATACATCTCCCGACAGTTTTATTTAGGCCGGCTCCCAAGTGAGTGTCTCGATGACTTTGACTACGGTACAGACGCATGTAGAGATATTTTCCACGATCCAGATATATTTATAAGTCAATTTGATAAAGCACTTGCGAATTTAGACATGAGCTGTCTGGCGTAACGTATTATTTTTAACTAGCCTTTACCCGCCGCGTTGCCTGCGCATTCCTGTGAGCATTTAATTGGGATAAAAAGTATCTTATCAGACAAGTCTGCTGCTGCCCATATCCTGCCTGTATACCAAAACTTCTTCAAAATCCGTTCAGTAAGTTTCAGCGTGATTGACGGATAAATATTCTAACAAATCAACTTTCACATTTATAATATTTAGTGTGACACTATAGAGAAATATGTTATTTAATAAAATCATTCAGAAGCTTCGAGGTTCGAGTGTTTAGTACCTACGACTACACACCTAAGAGTCACGCGTTCTATTCCAAACTTGTACTATTTCCTAATAATATCACGGAACCAGCTTACGAGAGTTAAATTACCTCGACACCTTTATAAACTTTTACGAAATTAAAATATACAATATTTTTTTATGAAATAGGTGGCAAATGAGCAGACTAATCACCTGGTGGTAAGCGATCAGCGCCGCCCATGGATACCCACAACCCCAGAGGAGCCACAAGTGCGTTGCCGGTTGTTTATCTTTTATAAAAGTTTTACATGATCCGTAGTGTATAAACAAATATACCTATTCCAAGTTTAAACTTAATAAAACCAAGTATCAATCAATATTACAAGCTAATAATTTAATAAGTAGTTGGAAAAAAACCTACACTACATAAAAAACCCAAGGTCGGTGATCAATCTTATAACCGTCACCGAGGTTGAATAAATCATGAGTTTGACTGAAAACGGAACACTCACTCATTTACATCGTAATTTACTATTAGTGGGTAATCAACAGAAAAGTTTAAGTTATACATCTTTATGCCACGTCCACACTTGATACTTGCAACAAATATCGAACACAACAAATAAAGTCCCAAACATCGATGTGTGTAGCAAGCCAACCTACGGAGAGAGTAACCTATGGAGTTTCTTGCTCGTTCTTCTCCATAGGAATCTACACCTTGGAATGACCAAATAGCTTCACTTTTAATTTTATTGTTGACGTTCAAA